TATTCAGTTAAGATTTTTTTATTTCTAATTTTAGTATTTACTCTATATTTGATGAAAGACCTTATTCTTTCAATTCTTATATATTTTTAAACTTTAAAAAATTTTATGCATGTGAGTGTTTTGTCTGCATGTAAGTGCACCATGTGCATGCAATGCCTGTGGAGGGCAGAAGCTGTTGGATCCCCTAGAACTGGAGTTACGAATGATTGTTAGCCACCATGTGGGTGCTGGGAACTGAACATGGGTGCTCTGCAAGAGCAGCAAGTGCTCTTAACTGCTGCGCTCTAAGTCTGTATATTTCAAGTATTATATATTGTGACTCTTTAGGACATGAACCAATTCATCAAAATACTTTTCCTTTTTTGCTTCTGAAAAGACTTGTTACACAGTTTTGTAACTCATACGTATGTAGCAATCTGAGAGAAGTGAATGTATAAAATAGAAATTTACTGTTTAAACTTAAATGACTTAAAAAGATGATCAGAATTAATAAGTTCACTTACCAGTGTTAGGTTTAATATTCAGATTTACCATTTCTTTGTGTTCATTTTATTCTCTCCGCCTTTGAAAACAAACCTGGTATTAATTTAAAGATTAATGCAGTATATAATATGTTTGTGTCTCTATATTTTTAAGTTAAAAAAGGAGTTCATTGTGCAAGGTTGATTTTTTTTTTGTGGAAATATAAAAAAACAAAGTGGGTTCTTCTGAGATCGCTAAGGAAGAATAGACCATTAAAGAAGCAGTGGTTGTGATTTCAAGAATGTATTTTTCCATCAGATGTACTTGAGGGAATGAAAGCAGTCTGAAGAATGCTTTCAAATAATTACTGCTAAAATAAGAACTCTCTTATTCCGTCTGTGAAACAAGAGAATAGGAAGGCAAATAAAACTTCAAATGAAACTTTAAAATGCCAAATTAATTTTTAAGTATTTAATATTGTTCCATTATATTAGACCTACTAAAACATTAGTTTGAAACCAAAACAGTTTGAGCCATAATTTAATAAAACGCGTTGTACTTTTATTGCCATGTTATTTTATATTTCAAAGGAATCAATATCTTTAACATAATCTATAATAGTAAATTATTTAGGAAATTTGGCTTGACATACAAACGGATGCATTTCCTTGATTCTTTTTAGACTGAGGTTGGTAGTTAATGGTTTATTGTTCCTGTGATTGGCGTTAAAAGTCTTATTTCACAGCTTGCAGTAAGGAACTATTGGGTAAAGAGTGGTTATGTTCCACAAACTAAATTCAGAAAGTGTCAATCAAGGTCTTATGTAGGTTACTTAGAGAATGAGTTTTCTTACTGATTTCACCAAATGTCGCCTCATGCTGTCTTTGATTGGCACAGCCTGGCAGGGAGGATGGATGAATCTGTCACCGGCTGGTTAATTGTGTTGCTGGTCTCAGTCTGACATCAGGTCTTTGACTCTTAAATGGCTCAATACAAAACAAATTAGCAGATTGTAGTCATATTTCTCATTCTATATGCTTTGACTTTGTTGAATGCAGTCCATAAATCATATTGACTGACACACAAGTAAATGATGAAAGCACTTTTGAGACATGAATCTAGAAAGCAGCACTGTGAAGGTGCCATGGAAGGATGCATATGGTTGACCCCTTGGGAATTTCCTAGGAGCCAAATGTCTCTTTACCACAATTGTTCTTAGAAGAAAAGCTTTTGGGTAATGCAAAAAGGATCTAATATGTCAGCAGATTCTCTTTTACAAGTTCCTTTGAAATATAAGAAGTTTGTTTAAGGGTTTTCTCTCTTTGCAAGTTGTTTTTCAGAAAAATGTTAAAGCAGGGTAAAAACATTGTTACCTTTTAAAAGTTTAGCAGGTGTTTTTGCTTATTTATTGAACTTTGTGCTTTTAAAGAGAAGGAAAATGATAATGTTGCAATTAATTTTTCTGATAAGGGCAGATGTGATTGGGTGCTTAAAATGTATTAAATGTGCATGTTAAAATTTATTAATTATTTTGACTGTGTTATATCAAAATGTCTATTAAAAGCTAGTTTTTACAGATAATGTAAAAGTATTTTGAGTATGTTTATTTTAGGAAATGATACATTATGAGACTCAATATACTAGTAATAATAGTATTCAGATAGGAGTGATTGGTTATATCAAAATGTGCCAAGGGTCCTAGGCATCAGATACATACTGCCAAATTTATTTTGGGTGTATACATATATTGAAGTCATCAACATTTTTCTGTATAAAATAAGTAGATAAAACTTAAGGCAAGTGCTACACATTCTGTAATTCGAAAGTGAACATTTAGAAAATAGTGTGTAATCTTATACAAGTTTTTTAAAATTTGAAAAATCTGAACCTTTGATAGTATTAACTTAAATTTTGATGCATGAAAAGGAAGAATTTATTTTATTTGAATAACATAAAATATTTTGTAAAGCTCTAAAACTTCTGTCTTTGAGAACAATAAGCCTGTAGAAGTATGTCTAATCAAAGGAATTTTAACATTAATATTTTACTCTCACAAATATTATTTAAATAAAGAACTAAGTTTGCGTATTTATTTTCATTGCCGATTTCCACCAGATTTCTGGAACAGCAGGTATCTCTACTCATGCCATCATTTTAGCTCCAGCACTATTGTTGTATAATTATTTGTGTTTCTGAAGCTATGTTAAAACAATGCCACTTATAGTGTATGATGTGTTTGTGTACAAAATAAATATTTTTGACAATTTATTAATCTGCTTTTTCAGTTAGTACATTGTAGTAGCAATAGCGATAGGACATGGAGCCAAACTGATGGAGAAGTACATTACAATAAAATGCACTGTTTGTTCTTTTAAGTCAAAATGACATTTCCATGAAGTATTCTCCAGCCTATTGCATTGTACTTAACCAACATGCCATTGATTTCTCTTTTCTCTGTTTCTCTTCCCCTTCCCATTCATATTGATATTATTCTGCCTGGAGAATAGAGCTACATGTCTCTCAGACTCATTCCTCCTGGCCTTGGGGATCTTGAGGCATGCTGGGTTTTCATTGTATTTTACATTCCTTTTTGTCAATTCATCAGTATCTGTCAAACGTATTGTTTGAGTAGGCTTTTATCTCTAAAGTTTTTGATTGAGATATTGACATTGCATGTCCAATACTAGTTTTCCGTTGTGATAGTGTCTAAATAACTAAACACCCATTCATAGGTTGTTTGGTTCTACTCTGTTTTTTTTTTTTTAATGTGTAATTTAAAGAGCAAGTATTCTAGTGTCATGAAAATATATTTATGTTCCCTATTACCTTTCAAACCAACTTTACTAAACATTTTTGTGCTAGTATAATGTAGCATGTATGTTTGGAAGATGGTTTTTATGGATTTTAATCTCTATTTGTCTTTGTGATAAGTAGAAAGAAAACACAATTACGAGATGTCATAAGTAAATACCCGTTAACTGAAATGAGGCAGAATATGGTATGTCCTCCGAAAGTCATTATTTTTCCTGACCATTTTCATAGACCTTTGACTATCACTATGTGAATCAGTCCATCACCAAATTGTATAATCACTAATTGAGGGAGCCATGCTAGAAGGATTACAATGAAAAATTTTTACCCAAAATAGTCTTCCACTTCAAATGCAAGTTCTGCTTAAAGAAACAGTTTTTAATAAATGTAGTGTAGTATTGTGATTCAGCTGTGTAGTCTATAGGGTGAGCATTTAAAAACTTAATTTTTTTAAAATTTCAAGTAATGCTATCAATGCAAGTTCATATGAAGTTTCAAGAGCTTATTACAGTAGAAATATTTTTAAATGATATTTATCACAGTAAAAGAAAACCATTTATAATTTACTAAACTGCATATTTCTCAATTACTGTATAATTTTAAAAGTTCTTACAGCTAAATACAGCATGGATTTGATTGAATGCAGGTGAAATTGAAGTCGCACTGGTAGACAAGCCTTTTTGTCCCCCACTAATAATTGAAGCTATTCCACAGACTGATATTCTGAGTAGAAATAAGGACTGTTAACTTGAAAGTGTATTTTGAATTTTAGGTACAGTTTAGATAATAATAATGATAAATTACAAGTTAACTTCCTTTATTTTGTCAATATATAAAGGAGAGCTTAGGGAACATTACATGGATAAAAAATTTTGTTAATATGGTGGCGATTTTATGTCATAAATGCCATATTTTCATATGCATTAAAAGATATTTCAAGAGATCTCAGGGCTGGAGAGATGGCTTAGCGGTTAAGAACACTGGCTGTTCTTGGAGAAGACCCGGATTTGAATCCCAGCACCCACATGGCAGCCAACAATGTCTGTAACTCCAGTCCCAGGGGATCCGACAGCCTCTTCGGTCCTCCACGGGCATTTCACAACACGGGTGCACTTACCTATGTACAGCCAAAATACTCATACACATAAAATAAAATAATAAATAAAAAATATTAAAAAATATTTCAACACACACGCAACAAATGTAATTTTTTTAAAAAGATATTTCAGGAGATCTGAAATAAAGTTTTTTTAAAAGAATATTTTACTTATTATTATTTTTATTTTATGTGTATGAGTGAATTGCCTGCATGTATGTGAGTGCACCCATGCCATGCAATGCCGCGGAGGTCAGAAGAGGGATTCGGATTCCCCTGGAAGTGGAGTTAAGGACGGTTCATAGCTGCCATATGGGTGCTGGGAATCAAACTCGAGTCCTCTGCAAGAGCAGTCAGTGCTTTTAACTGCTGAGCCATCTCTCCAGCCCCTGAAATAAAGTTTTTAAACTTTAATTTTCCTTTGTGTAACTAGTGCTTTAGTAATATTGTATCCCAGGGGACATTAATTTTTAATTTCTATGATCAAAGACAAAGCCATTCAGAACACAGAAACATAAACGCCAGTAATCACTCTTGTACCAACAAAAGAGTGCCATCTGTGCTATTTTATGATAAGATATATTTCCATGCTTACTTATTCATTTTTTGTTTGGTTGTTTGTTTTGAATAGGGGAAAGTTGCCCAAACAGCTTGTATGTCAGCCTGCCAGCATCTGTCAACCTCCTTAATGCAGATGCTTCTGGACAGTGAGTTAAAGCAGATAAGCATGGGAGCCATTCAGCAGTTTAACCTAGATGTCATACAGTGTGAATGTAAGTACCATATTGACCAACTCTCATGCTTCCTCTAGAAATCTACATTTAAACAGCATAAAAAGATGTATATAATAGGATAGCTTGAAAGGAGGGAGATGGAGTCAACTAAACTTTCCACAGCCTTTGGAGTAGGAAGAAAAAAAAATCTCAGCCTCACATTAGCAGCTTCTAAAGACAGGCAGCATTGAAGTGGTGATCTAGATTGGGTAATTAAGTGATTCATTCCCCCTATTATTTCTTCCTCTGATCATTCTTACCTCCTAGATAGGACTCTCCTAATACCATAACGAATGATGCAACCCCAAGTTTGCCACTGCTTTTTCTGAATAACATGTTGATAACCCATTAGAAGGATAATCTTAAGATTGCTTAACAGGTGACGCTTCTAACATTTTCTCTTTCTCAATGATTTTTTTCAAACCTTTATAACTGCAGTTATTTTTCCACTTCATTTTGTTCAGATAACAAGGTTTGCATATTCTTTGGTCTGGTGCTGACATTAGCTAACAAGCTTCAAAACTTGTATTATTAGCCTTGTTGTATATGCTTTGGATATGAGTTTTATCAGATCTTCATAACTCTAAGTACAGAACTTGAGGACTTTTTGGATGAGTGGTTCCCTAATCAAATTATGAAAATCCCTGATTGACAGTTGAATCAAACATGTCCATTGGCAAATTACAAATCAATGTGGCCATCAGAAAGAGTATGAAATTGTTGTTTAAAAAAATTACAATATTGTTATTTGGAAAAAATTTTAAATTAAGTATCTGCTATCTTCAGCTGACACAGGAGTAACACATTTTTCCCCTCAGCAATATGAAATACTTGTGTACCTCTTATGCATTGTGCTGTGGAAAAAAAAAATGTGTACCTTTTCCTAGAAAGTGATTCTAACTTTCCCTAACCAGAAAACTTTATTTTCTCAAAAATAAAACTGTCTGGGCCTGGAGAGATGGCTCAGCGGTTAAGAGCACTGACTGCTCTTGCAGAGGACCCAGCTTCAATTCCCAGCACCTACATGGCAGCTAACAGCTGTCCATAACTCCAGTTCCAGGGGAATCTGACACCCTCTTCTGTTAAGAGCACTGACTGCTCTTGCAGAGGACCCAGCTTCAATTCCCAGCACCTACATGGCAGCTAAAAATTGTCCATAGCTCCAGTTCAAGGGGTTCTGACGCCCTCTTCTGACCTCTGTGGGCATTGCACACCATGTGTGCACTTAAATACATGCAGGCAGTATACTTATCACATAAAATAAAAATAATAACTAAAATATTAAAATAATAAAGCTATCATTCACAACATATTTACTTTTCATTTATAAAAATATCTGCCCAAAATGCACTTTAGTTTCTAAACTCATAATTATTATTCTCATTCTACAAATAATTTGCTTTTCCTTTTTCCTCTCCCTTCCTGTATCTTTCTCTTCCCCCCCTTTATCTCTCCATCCCTTCTCTTTTATTTTTAAGTTTTGACTAGCATACAACGTAGCAAGTTTCCTTGCTGTTTTGTTTACAACCCCCACATTGACTCCTCTTCCCCATCTTCCTGCCTTCCCTCTCCTCTTGTACTACTACTATTACCCTTTCCATCTCTTTTTCTGGTGTTGGGAATTTACTCCAAGGTCTGGCACCATTCTAAACACATACTTTATCACTGAACTATACTCCCAACTTAAACTGCTTTCTTAAAGTTTTTAAGAAATTGTCTTATGAGATCATTCCAGTATAACATAGTTTATATAAATATTTTACATAAAGGTTGTTAGAGGCATTTTGTGTTATTGTGTCCTTAGTGTGGCTTCAAAATAACTAGGTGGTAGGGTTGGTGAGATGGCTCAGGGGGTAAAGGCACACTTGCTGCTAAGCTTGATGACCTGAGTTCACTCCTGGAACCTATATGGTGGCAGGAGAAAACTGACTCTTGCAAGTTACCCTGATTTCCATGTGTGTGCTGTGGTGTAGGCAATGTGTACACACACAAAATAAATATTAAAAAAATTTAAATAATAATTAGATGGTTAAACCTCTGTTGGCATTTGGTTGTGCCTTCTCAGTTACATTTATTGCTGATGATAGAATTTGCTACTTGGATAGGTAAGTTTCAGGAGACTGAATCTTCTCTCTCTGTTCTCTTACCTTTCTGTGAAGGGCTGTCCTAACTATTCTTAGAAAAAGGCACCCACCACTCCCCCATCTCCTGGTTACTGTCTCACTATCCTCATAGGGTAGTTCTATTTTAAGTTGTTACTTTAGACAGTTACTGAAGCCTCCTTTTAAGTGCTAACCAATAAGAGAAAGGAAATCTGGTGTCAAGTACAAGGGGAAAAGCCTTACTCTGTTGGGAGCTCAGGTTCTGTCACCAGAGACATGGATAAGAAAAGAACTAAGACTCTAAAAGTCATGGATGGCAATTCAGCTTCTTTTAAGATGTTGCCTTTAGTTGGCTCTGCCCTTCAGTGCTTATCATATATTTTACTGTAATAATTACTTCTTTAAAAATTTTGATATAATTAATTTTTTGGCGTTTTAAAATGTTTAGTGTGTGTGTGAGCGCGCATGTGTATCACAGTGTGCACATGGAGGTCAGAGGACAACCCACCATGTGGGTTCTGGAGATCAAACTCAAATTGTCAGACTTGGAAGCAAGGTGCCTAACCACTGAGCAATCTCACCAGCCCCCTGTAGTCATTATTTTTTAATACAGTGTGACACATTCAGTACTCACTGAATAAATATAAACTAATTACATTTTTGTCTTCTAACTTATGATGTTAAATATTCTCTTTTCCAAAAGACATCTTTTTACTTTAAACAGTATATCAATAATATAAAATAATAAAACACTCTTCTGTACTCTTTGTGGTAGGAAAAATATGCCCCCTTCAACTTGCAGCTTTTGGAGGTTGATACATGTATTAATCATGTGAAAGTGAAACTAGTTTTCTCTAATATTCATTAACATATAATCACTATTTTAAGAGAAATTAAAAATAAGTTTTCATATTAAGTAATTCTTATTTTTGTGTGGGAGAATATAGTTTTAAAATATAAAGCTAGGGGACTGGAGAGATGACTCAGCAGTTATAAGTACTGGCTGCTCTTGCAGAGGACCCCCAGGTTCAGTTCCTAGCACCCACATGGCAACTAACAACCATCTGTAACTCCAGTTCCAGAGGATCCTCTGACCTCCATGGGCATTGCATGTGTGTCGTCCACTTACAGACATGCAGGCAAAACACTCATGCACAAAAAATAAAAAGAAATTAATCAAAAAATTAAAAATAAAATATAAAGTGAATTTTCAGTATTAATGCAGTATATATGTTTTCTACATATTGAGACAGAAAGAAGAAAGGCAAAACTGGAACTTTGTTAGATAGGAGGCAGGCTAGAGTGCTTGGTAATTTGTGGCAGTCTGAATATCATGGGAATCATCTGGGATATAGAGAAGAAAGGCAGGTAGCACAGATAACGAATCTCAGAAGCTAAACAGTCAGTGGTAATATGACCCACCCAGCATGGTAACAGCAGCATGTTCTCAGACTCCTCCACGGTGAGGATATGCCGTGCTATAGAACGTCCTGCTGTGTGGTTGACCTGTCGTATCTTGAACATCCAAGCTGGTCATTGTGTATAAGAAATAATCTTACAACTATATGTTATTTCTGCTTAGTCATACACAAGAACAAAACCTTCTTCTAGAAGCTAGTTCTATGAAAACTCTGAATGGTCTACATATTGATTTGACTATCAGTGTCAGTGTCTGATACCTGCAGTAAGGGAACCACTGAAATATGTAGTTAGTCAGGCTATCAGGTGCACTCTTCCATACTCTGCACTTTATTAACAAAGCCCAAACTAAAGGCACATGCCTATAATCCCAGCACATAATGAGACTTTAAAAAAAAAAAAAGACCAAAAACAAAACCAAAAAACTACAACAAAATAGCTCAAACTGTTATGACCTTCCTAGTGACTAGAATATACTTTGAAATAATTGAAGCTATAGTGTTCTAAAATCTTTCTTGGGACTGGGGATATGGTACAGTATTCAAGCATGAGGACCTAAGTTCATACCACCAGCATCCATGTAAAAACTAGGCATGGTGTCACAGATCTGTAATCTCAGTTAGGGAGGCAGAGATAAGCAGATTCCTATGTCTCACTGACTAGCCAGCCTAGTGGAATTGGTGAGTTCCAAGTTGATTAAGAGACTGTGTCTTGAAAAATAAGGTGAAAAGGAATTGGAGACACCCAACGTCGACATCTGGCCTTCACATGCATGCACATATACATGTGCACTCACACACATATGTGCACACACCTGCACAAAACACACATACTCTCCCAACAAAATAAATAAAATAATCTGTTTATCTTTCCCCATCCTCATTTTCTGATTGCTAAACTCTGTTTTCCTAATCTTTTGTTTGTGTGATTGGTTTTTATTTTAGGATTTTAAGGTAATCCTTAATAAATTTTATATTTAAGATCTACTCCATAACTAGCCTGTTGAATTTTTTTCTGTTACAAGTTAGTATCATCTACAAAATTTTAATCATATTTAAACATATTTAACAATTCCATTGGTAGGATGCTGAACAAAACCTATTATTAATGCCCTGAGAGTCTAGTCCTCAAAATGTGGTCCCTGGATGAGCAGCAATAGCATGAACTTGTTAGGAATGTGAATTCTTAGGTATCATCTGCTAAATGAGGAGCTTTCTGGTAGGATTTAGCAATTCGTTTGATTAACAACTGCAAGCAGTTGTGAGAACCACTTTATTATATGGACTCCCTTCAACTTGGGTCCATTATTCAGAATCTTGTAGCTGTCTTGTGATTTCTTCTCTCCCTGCCTCTCCCTCCTCCTCCTTTTTGTTTTTTTGTGGTACTGAGGATTAAATCAGGGCCTGTGCATACTTGGTAAGTGCTCTATTGCTGAACTACATCCCCAAGTGTCTTGTGATTTCTTAGTCCTCTAGTTGA